ATGGTGGTGACTACCATGACTAATGACGAAATAAGGCTTTTGGGGGTTCTTATGCGATGAAATAGTTGTAAGAGAGGATGGAGAAGCCAAAAATGCCCACATCTCAAAATCCACAATGATGACTTGAATAGGGACTTTCAGGGTGTACCCACCCCATTCTTCTCCCATCCCATTAACAATAGACGAATCAAAGTGAAAGAACGAGTTGGAATAACAGCATGACATCACGCTGGTAACGTGCTCATGTATTCTCATAATTGAAAATGGCTCACAAAACAAAGCTAAGACCATGTAAACAATCTACACAGAGGCATCAAAAGAACATATTTATCTAAATCCCATAATTTTACCAACCCAACTAGATTTTTCTCCAAAAAAGCAGCAAATTCTATTTGTAATCTTATCGGCAAAGGTGAAAAGATCAAACAAGTCCAACAGTTTAAATATCTAGGATATAATATCATATAATAACATCTGACGCAAAATATTCCAGAGAAACGCACCGGAGAATTGCAATGGCTAAGGCTAGTTTCAATAAAATGAGCCCAATCCTGAAAAATAGAAACATCTCAGTGACTATCAAAATGAAAATTCTGGAATGCTATGTTTGGTTAACCCTTCTATATGGCTGTGAATGCTGGACAATCACTAAAGACTGAAAATAAAATAGAAAAAACAGAAAGGTGGTTGCTTAGGAGACTGCTGAGAATATCGTGGAAGGAAAAGAAATCAAATGAGGTAGTGCACAGTGCTTGATGAAGCCAACGTGGGACGCTCACTGTAATACACCCCCCCCCCCCCAACAAAACCGAGTGTTTATGCAGTTGAAAGTATAGTTGTACATGCACTGTGAGTGGGCCAGTATGTATGTAACGTTGATTTAAACTTGAAAAGCGAATATTCTATTTTATTACATGGACGGGGCAACTGAATATCATGTATTGGGGAGGATAAAGCCAATCAGTTATTGGGTTATTCAAGTAAATATCAAACCAAATGCTATAGTCTTCTTTTGAAGAGGAGTGAAACCGAACAATATATTATGGGTATATTTACAGTACACATACACACACACACACACACACACACACACACACACACACACACACACACACATATCGTCGGCCTTGTGATAAAACCGGCTAACCCCAGCGAGGTAAATTTTACAGGAGAAGGAAAAAACTGTTTTATCTCAAAACAAAGGTGTCTAACGATAAATCAATGCTTTAAACAGTTGTAAAAACACTTTACCGAAAAACTGTTGACCTTTTTTTCTTAAAAAATCGCTTTTAATGAAACTGCGTGGGTTAGACGGTTATGTCGCTCAAATTTCCCCCGAAAAAACCGACCAACCCTCAATTTTGTGGGTTGGCCGGTTTTATCAGGAAGCCACTGCTGGCCTCGAGTTTGGTTGAGTGCAGCCAAGCCACACTTGATTGTAACGTATTTGATCAGTTCTTCAATCGTCGTGATCTTTTGTGATCTTTTGTGATCTTTTGTAGAAGAAGAAGAAGAAGAAGAAGAAGAAGAAGAAGAAGAAGAAGAAGAAGAAGAAGAAGAAGAAGAAGAAGAAGAAGAAGAAGAAGAAGAAGAAGAAGAAGAAGAAGAAGAAGAAGAAGAAGGTTGAGGAGTAGGAGGAGGAGGAGGAGGAGGAGGAGGAGGAGGAGGAGGAGGAGGAGGAGGAGGAGGAGGAGGAGGAGGAGGAGGAGGAGGAGGAGGAGGAAGATGGTGAGGAGGAAAAAGGAGGAGGAGGAGGAGTAAAAAGGAAGAGGAGGAGGACGATATTACTGCTACCAACATACTATCAGCTGCTGCCATTTCACTGCTACGGAGTCAATTCTGGCAAAAACAGCAGTCACGAATTGGAACATTTAATAGAAGTAGAAGAAGCAGAACACAGCAATGGGTATATTAATTATATTTGAAGTAGAAGAACAGGAGGTTCGAATGGTAAGGGAGAGCAGCTACAGCAACAACAACAAAAACAACAACCACAACAACAACAGCAGTAGCATCAGCAGGCCTTTAGAATTTATGACAGTGTCTGACACGGTACTATTGGCACTGGGTAGCCTTTCAAATGCCTGGAAAAAAAGTAATACTAAGAAAGAAATGAAAGCAGAAAGCCACAGAGAAGCTCTGCTACCTCAGCAATGGTTTGAGTGAAGTTGGTTTCATAACAAAAAGACTTTGTAGGTATCAAAGAATGCGCCAACTTTCTTCAAGGTGCGTGGCTTGACGACTACTGCATTATTGAGTTTTCTCAACAATAGAAGAGCAGGTCTGTCTCACTCTGTGTCCTGTGGCTATAACAAGGCAATACGACAAAAGTTACCATTGTTTTGAAAGACTCAACAATAATCGAATTTGACTTGATC